TTTTTTTTTTTTTTTTTGCGCCGCTTGGATATAACCCTAGAGCCGGCCCTGAACATGACACTAAGTTTATGTTTTATCAGAGTACAATTAAAGATGCAAAGGAAAATTGGAAATTAAGGACAGTTGAAATCAGGATATAAAGTATCTGTCTTACTTGGAATGATTTGCACTTGGCAACTTTCATCCAAGGAGTTCCATGTGCTCTATATCCCTGAGATTTTGGGTACTTGGCATGTCTGAAAATGAATCCACTTTTATTTGAGTGGCTATATATGGATTTAGAAGCTTCAATTTAGGCATCCATTTTGGTCATAACTTTCACAACCCCCCTGTTGGTAAAGTATTATTATCCCTATTATACAGGTGGGTAAACCAAGGTACATAGGGTGAAATCCCGGCCCCACTGTTGTCAGTGGCAAAATTCTCATTGATATCAAGGATAGCATTTCACCCATAGAGACAAAGGGCAAAATTTCAAATGCATAAACTATTGTGGAGAGGAAAGGTGGCTTAGTGCTGGGGCTTGAGTTTGATGCATTTGAGGATTAGGGCCAATATTTTAAAATATGATGCACAGAACAATTCTTCTGTTCCTTGTTTTAACGATCAGTTTGCATTTCACTTACTGCGTCAAGACCTCTGGTCCGGGACATTTGAACGGGTGATGTATCTATCAGTGTAAGAACTCTGGATCATAATTCTTTAGAGGATGTGCACCTAAGATCTGGAATTATTTGTCTTGACACAGTTTTGGCCATTAAATCTAGGTTCAACACCTACCACATTCCTAATCAATTGAACGATTAATTGTAGAGGTTTTAAATAAGTGCCTTGGAATTTGTCATTAAATTATTAAAACTACACCTCTACCTCGATATAATGCGACCCGATATAACACAAATTCGGATATAACGCGGTAAAGCAGTGCTCCGGGGGGGCGGGGCTGCGCACTCCAGCGGATCAAAGCAAATTCAATATAACGCAGTTTCACCTATAAAGCGGTAAGATTTTTTGGCTCCCAAGGACAGCGTTATATCGAGGTAGAGGTGTATTTTATTTGATTGTTCAATATCTGTAGCCTGGATGTTATGCAATTTTTCATCCATACTCTTCTTTAGGATTGACTCCATTTTTGTGAGGAATTCTCATTTTCCCCTAACACACACATGGTTTGAATCAGAATTTGTAGTTTGTCCGCCAGTGATGCCCATAAAACACTGAGAGGAAATGTGGTTTTTCATATATGAAAAAATGATAGGTTATAGTCCCATCACACCTAAAACCTATACACAGAGATCCAGATACTATGGAACATTTGAGTAAGCCAGTCTATTGAATCAGTTTTAGTAATAATTTTTGCTGTTTATTGAAAGGGTTAAATTATGTCCCTTATAAGGCAAATCCATACTGGGGAGGGGAGAAAAGGCCATCACCATAAGGCCATTATTATTATTTATTATTATTATTATATCTATATTATAGCACCGAGGAGCCCTAGTCATGGAACAAAACCCCACTGTGCCAGATGCTATACAAACACAGGACAAAAAAGATGGTCTGTGCCTCAGAAAGCTTCCAAAGTATAATACAAGAGACAACAGAGGGATACAGAGAGGCAGACAGGGAGGTCAAGGAAATGAGGCTGTATTTTTCAGCATGGTAGACAGTGGTCTTAGCACATCACCAGCCTAATCATTGTCAAGTTTTGTGTAGGCATCGCAGGAAAGGAGAGTTGTGAGGAGGATTATATAAAGGAGAATGAGCTAGTTTTGCATATGTTTATGAAAAGCTCCTCCTAAGCGTGCGGGGCAGCATAAGAGAGAGCATGAAGTTGCTTGGTTGTTTCCATTGTCAGAAGGCAGTAAGACACCATTTCTTCTGGGTTCTAAAGGAATCATGCTGAGAAGTAGGACTTGGCATACCAAAAAAGTCTAGCCAGCCCTCTCTTGCTAGCACTTGCTGGTGTGCAGAGGTGACAGAGCCATGGCCTTACCTCCCATTTTTCCAGACAAAATTCATGAGGAATACAAACAATGATGACCAGTACCCCCTTTGTGCTCCACATCTCCAGTGCCAAATTATAGGTGCCTTCTACATGTGCATTCTTGGTGGAAGAGTTTTCATGCCCTTCCTTATTCTAGAACAGGGGTCTCAAACTCAAATGACCACGAGGGCCACATGAGAACTAGTACATTGGCCCAAGGGCCGCATTTACTGACACCTTCCCCTACCCCCACTCCACCCCTTCCATGAGGCCCCACCCCTGCCCCGCCTCTTCCCACCCCTTCCTTGCCCCCATTCCAACCCCTTCCCTGAAATCCCCACCCCAACTCCGCCCCCTCCCTACCCCCAGGGGGTGCAGGAGGGGTGTGGGGTGTGGCGGGGGCTCAGGGCAGGGAGTTGGGGTGTGGGGTGCAGGAGGGGTGAGGAGTGCGGCAGGGGTGGAGCTGGGATGGGAGGGGCATGTCAGGGGAATAGCTGCAGATTCCAGGCACCACTGCAGCTCCAAGAAGCTGCCTTCATTTAGGCCCCCAGAGCTGTCTAAATTATGCCAGGAGCCTCACCACAGAGCTGCCCATGATTAGGAGGTACAAAGCTGGGTTAAAGCCACCTTTGTATCCCTTTCCCTCACTTGGGCTGAGAGATCTGTGCAGCAGAATCTCACTGAAGATTTATTTTCATATTATTATTAATCTGAAAATAAACTTGTTAAATCAGGAAGGTAGCAGAATATCTGTAAGGAGACAGAAGAAATCCTTAGGTGGATACATGGTTCTTAGAAGAAGATGCTAGGTACATATGGTTGTCCTGCTGCTCCCCTTTACATTAATAGTTGGAAAAATTACCTCTGCCACATTCTTGATTTCATAATTAAAATGCACTTACCTGTCCAATATGTTTTAAATCTGAAAAGTACATTTGTAGCTTTCATTTCTTTTGGAGCAGTTTGCCAACAAAGGAGAAATAAATTGCTGGAAAAGCAAAGAGTATTTTCAGCAGAGTTAAATGGACCATTTAATAATGATATCCACTATCAGACCTACATCATACATTCAGGAGTGGAAAAGGTCCACTAGACCAGTTTCCAGCTATATTTGAAGGACAATGCTAATGACTCTTTGCACACATATTTTACCTTATTCATTTCTGCTTATTTTATGTTTCCTACTAGGCTGATGATAAAGACACTGGAAATTACAGTGCCATGCAGTACAGACTCATCATACCCCCAATCAAGGATGGCAAAGAAGGTTTTGTGATCGAAGCCTATGAAGGGCTTATAAAAACTGCCATGCTGTTCAAAAATATGAGAAGATCCTATTTCAAGTTTCAGGTCATTGCAACTGACAATTATGGGAAAGGACTGAGCAGCAAATCAGAAGTACTTGTAAGTATATGAATCAGTCAATGTCTTCTTGAAATTATTCCTGATACACTAGAGGAAATTCTAACTCTAGATAAAGTTTCAGTTCCAAAGAGCTAGAAGGGATGGGCATGAAGTTTGTGAATATGATCTTTTCAAGACACTGAAGTTATTTTTCCCCAAAACAAAAGCTTTCTGAATACCTGAAAAAAAATGTATGTACTATAGCAATATGTCTATATGTCCTATTTACACAAAGATAATACAGCATGCTAGATATTCACAGAATATATCCTCATGTACTCAATATCTACCAGGATTTTAATTGTTTGTATTTAATTTAAAATGAAGAAGCCATACGCTGAGGATTCGTGGAGCATGATTCTGTTCACAGCAAGATAAATACTGCAGACAGGAAGGAATCAGGGACTTCCTGTAGGCACTGAGAGCACAATATAGGTACCTCATGGTGTTTTATAAATTCAGATAAATAAAATATTATGAGACCTCTGACAATTGGGTGCTCAGGGGAAAACACAGGTGGCCACATCTTGGGAGTTCTGGGGAATAATAAACCCTACATAGGAAAGCAGGATTTTTCTGTTGAATCACCCAAAATTCAGGGGATATGCTAATAGGTGGATTTATTTAGCTCCAACCAGCATATAAAGTAAGCTGCCCCTCTTTGGGCATGAAGTTAAGACAGAGAAGATGCTGGAAGGAGACCCTAGGAACAGCCAAACTCAGGGAGGAAGTTTTGCCTGAGGTTTATAGTTTGTTATTAAATGATCACAAGCTATTAAATGATCACAAGCTATTCTTTCCACAGAACTCCTACCTCATTTAATTCACAGGATGGACAATGTTCAGGGAAATGAATCAGGGTTGTGTAGTGAATGAGAATGTTGTTTGCAGGATCCCACCTCAGTTGTTGCAAAAGTTGAATGCTGTGTAGAGAGTGAGTAGAGGACCGCAGAAAGAGAATGGTTGGTTTCATGATTTAGGCAGCTGAATGCTGCCCCAGAGAGTTGGATTCTATCTCTGCCTCTCTCACAAAGTCCGTATGCGATGCTAGTTAACTCATTTAAATGAAAAATTTCATAGCTGGCTGCTGTGTGTTCCTCATTTTCTGGGTGCTCAGCTTAGGGTGCTTGGGGACTGAGTTTACATCTGGAACTAAAGTCAATGGGAGCTGTGCTTGGAACATATAAAGTACTATAAAAATGTTAAGTACTATGGAATAATATGGGTTTCTCAGTTTAAAAAGGGTAAACAAGATAACCTGGGTAATTATAGGCCTGTTGGTTTGACATCGATCCCAGGCAAGATAGTCGCTGATAAGGGATTCAATTTGCAAACAATTAAAGCAGGGTCATATAATTGGCATGGGTTTATGGAAAATAGAGCCCGTTAAACTAAGTTGATATATTTTTTTAAAAAATTAGATTACAATTTGGTTGACAAAGGTAATAGTGATGATATAATATACTTACCACTTCTATAAGTCATTTGACTTTGTACAACATTTTGATTAAAAAACTAGAACGATATAAAATCAACATAGCATGCATTAAAAGCTAGCAGATAGGTCTCAACATGTAATTGTAAATGGGACATCCTCATTGAGCAGGTGTGTTTCTAGTGGAGTCCCGCAGGGATTGGTTCTTGGCCCTACGCTATTTAACATTTTAATCAAACATCAGGAAGAAAACATAAAATCATCACTAATAAAGTTTGCAAATGACACACAAACTGGGGGAATGATAAATAATGAAGACAGGTCACTGGCATAGAGCGATCTGGATAACTTGGTAAGCTGAAAAGCACACACTGTGCATTTTAATGACTAAATGTGAATGTGAGCCATACTTACCAATGGGTGCCTGTGTACTGGGAAGCAGTGACTGAAAAAGCTTTGAGGATTATGGTGGACGAACACGAGCTCCCAGTGTGACACTGTGGCCAAAAGAGTTAATGCTATCCTTAGATGCATAAACTGGGAAATCTCGAGTAGTAATGGAGAAGTTATTTTGCCTCTTTGGCATTGGTGCGACTGCTGTTGTAATACTGTGTCCACAATTCAAGGATTTGATAAATTGGAGAGGATTCAGAGAAGAGCCACAAGAATGAATAAAGGATTAGAAAACATGGCTTATTGACTCTAAGAGCTCAGTCTATTTAGTTTAACAAAGAGAAGGTTAAGGGGTGATTTGATTACAGTCTATAAGTACCAACATGAGGAACAAAATATTTGATAAAGGGATTTTCCATCTAGTCAAGAGAGGTATAAACTTATCCAAAGGCTGGAAGTTGAAGTTAGACAAATTAAAACAAAAATTTTGCACCTTATTTCCTAACAGTGAGAGTAATAATCCATTGAAACAATTTATCAAAGGGTGTGGTAGTTTCTCCTTCACTGGCTATTTTAAAATCAAGATTGAAGATTTTTCAAAAGATATTCTCTAAAAATTATTTTGCAGAATTTCCATGGATGATGGTGTACAGAAGGTCAAACTAGATGATCACAATGGTCCCCTCTGGCATTGGAATCTATTAATCAAGCTGAACACCCAACATTAGTGGATAATTGAGTGTTTTGGCTTTAATCACTTGGTGTCTCAGATCGCCGTCTGTAAAATGGGGATATTTCCCTACCTTGCAGGATTGTTGTGAATATAATTAATTGTTTGTGAACCACTAACTGTGGAATGTAAATGGTATGCAGTAAATAAGACATGAGAACACACACTGAATGATGAAGATAAAAATGAATAGCTATCTTGTGGTTTAGGATTTTGTATTACTGCCCGTCACTATTGTATCAGAGCACCTTCCATGTAGACTGGCAGTTACAAGGACTTTAGTGTACTTCATGGAGCAGGCTTGTCAAGGCTCCTTCCCCACTCTGAACTTTAGGGTACAGATGTGGGGGCCTGCATGAAAACTTCTAAGCTTAACTACCAGCTTAAATCTGGTCCGCTGCCACCACTCCCAATGTGCTAATTCCCTTCCCTGGGTAGCCTTGAGAGACTCTTCACCAATTCCCTGGTGAATACAGATCTAAACCCCTTGGATCTTAAAACAAGGAGAAATTAACCATCCCCCCTCCTTTCTCCCACCACCTCCT